AGCTTAAAGCCAAGGACACATGGCTTTGGCAGCAGGATGGAAACTGGCTTAAAGCTGCCGTGAAATCATCCTGACTTATTATTATGGGATCCTGGCATCTTGCAGAGAAGCAGCACTAAGTTATTTGGCACTGCTGGTTTTTGGAAGTGCAGGAGCAGCAGGAGCAGGGCGCAGGGAAGGTCCTGCTGTGGCTGGTGCCTTGGCCTGGGCACGGCAGCCCAGGGTGCAGGGCTGTGTGTGCGCAGGTGTTTGTGTCACTGCACACAGGGCGGTTTTCTCCTTACACCCAGCCTCCTGCTCCTTGTCTCCATGCACATCTGATCTTTCCTTCAGGGCATTAAGGTCAGCAGCAAAGACCTGTTGACATTGCATCCTTGTCCCTCTCGCCCTCCCCTTTCCGTTCTCTAAATCCCTGATCACACACTGGGACTGCTGGGGCTGTCCTGTGCAGGGCCAGGAGCTGCACTCCAGCGATCCTGGTGGGTGCCTGCCAGCTCACAGTATTCTGTGATTGAGTGGTCACTTTAAAACACCAATTTCAGCAGCTCTTCCTGCTCCTCACAGCCCCCCATGCCCAGCACTGAGCTCAGCAGCACTGTCAGGCCCTTTCTCTCCCTGCAAGGCGTGCTCCAGCCTGGCAGGGCAGGGATTAGAGCTTGGACCGGCTCCTCTAGTGACAAACATGTGCTCCAGCCCTCAGGGCATGGCAACAACCTCTCCTTCTCCCTTTTTTCCGACGGGAAAGGCCTGCCCTGGTGTAGGTGTCCATCTCCTGAGGTTCCATGCCTGCCTTTTACGGTGATGTTTAGCTCTGCCCCAGCCCCGGGTTGCTCCTGCTGCCTGGGGCTGGTCTCAGGTCTGTGATCCCATTCCTCAGGCATTTAACTCTTTGCCTATAAAACACAGGAGGTGCAGCTGGGACAGGGCTGAGCCCAGGGCCCTGGGGGACGCAGAGCTGGGCTTGGATTTCACTGCCACACCAGCTGGGTGCCAGGGGAGCCAGAGCCCGAGAGCCTGTGCAGGGCTGGCCCTCCACCACCCTGCTGCACCTCTTGAATTCAAGTGGTGACTCACAGCCTGGAACAATTAGGTAGATGTCATGTGCAGCTAGTGAGTGGTATTTTTCAGTGTTCATTTTACTTATTGTATTATATTATATTATATTATATTATATTATATTATATTATATTATATTATATTATATTATATTATATTATATTATATTATATTATNTGTGCAGGGACACTCAGGAGCTCAGTGTGTGTGCCCGGGGCACTCAGGGAACTGGGCTGAGTGTGCTCAGGGCACTCAGGAGCTCAGTGTGTGTGCTCAGGGAGCTGGGCTGGCTGTGCAGGGACACTCAGGAGCTCAGTGTGTGTGCCCAGGGCACTCAGGAGCTCAGTGTGTGTGCCCAGGGAGCTGGGCTGGCTGTGCAGGGCCCCTCCAGAGCTCACAGCTCCTGGGGCAGGGGGCTCCTGGGGCCCTGTGTGGGCAGCGCCTCAAAGGGACATGGAAAGTGCCCAGTCAGGGAAAACTCCTGAGCAGGAACCAGCAGGACTTAAGGGGTTTGGAGATTCAAGGTCTTACATCTTAACATCCTTCCACGTGAAAAAATCGGATTAAAGGTTCTCTGTACTTCCCTTGCAGCCATAGCCCCCACTTTGGCCTCAACTTGCCATGATGCAAGAAGCAGGTGTGACCTTTCATTATGGCTTCGGCATTTTCTCGAAAAGACATCCTGCAAGCCCAGTGGTCAGAATCTTGACATCAGGAGATCAGAAGTGACTGTGTTCTGCAGACTCTTTCAGTTTATGAATATTTAGGCATTTTCTAGTGAAGAGATGTCTCCTAAAACAAGTCCCTGTCAATAAATACCACAGACATGTATAGCTGCTGCGATCAGGAGATGTTATTCCTGTGCAGAATCAAGTAGGGAGGAGACTAAGGAACTCTCCATCTGTTTCTGCACTGTGCAGCACGTGGGATATTGCTGAAAATACACCATGCTCTGTTCCTCAGAGCCTGGGGAGACAGAGGCTGGCACAGGCGTGGCTGGATGGAGCTGGACAGTCTGACTCAAAGTGTATTGCAGCTTGGGAAAGCTGAGGGGCTGCAGGAAAAATCCCTTGGTAAATGGAGCGTATGAATGAAACCTGGTCCTGATGCCAGATTAACTCTGCAGGCCTCGGTGGAGCTAAAAAAGCACATTAGACAAAACCATTATTGAACTTCTTGATTACATAACAATTTCCTCATCGTATTTCCAAGAATATCGAATCTATATTCAAACACCCTCCTACTCTCTCCCACACACCACCCCTTCTCCTTGCTATATCAGCTTCATTACCGAGTATGAAGACAGAAAAAGTATAGGGCATGTTGCCACGAGCAGAGAGATCTCGGATCTCCTTACCCTGAGATTTTAGAGCCATCTATGGGATTGGGACAGCCAGTTCTCATAAATTTTAATGGCCTTGAAAGTCTCCAGCCTTATGCCTTTATCTCTGCTGGGGTTTTTAGCAGTGCAAAGAAAACACCCAAGCCATAAATGTCATCCAGCCTCGACGCTGGGTCAATCCCTGCTGCCCCATTCTGTGCAAGCTGCAGGGTGGGCACCCACACCCGTAGGGTGGGCACGCGCCCTGCCCCTGCACAGACAGAGATGGGAACTGCTGAGCAGCCTCCTCCCCTGGCGCAGGGAGGAGCACAGACCCTGCCAGCACAGGAGCAGCCCCAGGGCAGGAGGGATGTCCTGAAAGGGGCCAGGGGCAGGAGGCCAGCCCAGCTTTGGGGGTTTGAGGAGGTGGGGACTAAAGGCTTGCCAGCATGGCCCATCCATCTTGCCTCAGGAAACAGCAGTGGCACAAACTGGCTGCACTTGCTCCCAAATGAGCCTGCTTGTCTCATTTGCATGTGTAATAACCAGCGTGTGTGTACAATCATGCTAATCACTTTGAGGCACCTGCTTTAAATTCATCCAAAACCCTGCCCTGCCTGTTCCTGGGTTATTTAGCTTCCACAAGGGAACCATAGCAGCAATCCAGAGATTCACTCCACCAAAACTTTTGTGAAACAGCCAGTTTAGTGGAGGAGAAATTTTTTTCCTGAAATCCTGCCCATCCTTGCACCACAAGTCAAAATCGGTCCCATTGGCTTTTCTTGTTAAAGAGAAGTGAACCTGTAAGAGTAGAGGGAGGAGGGAAGCCAGGAATGGAATGAAAAGGCTGCCTGTGATGCAGAACATCCCTAGAGGCCTCCCTTCCCTCCAGCTTTCTGTCTCTCATTACTGACAGTGGAAAATACAAGAGCTGCCAAGCTAGAGGTTCAGTACAGCCAAGATGGGAAACCTTATTAGAGAGACAGATGGTGATTTCTATAATCTGAAATCCCAGACTGTAAATACTTTGGGACAGAGCCCTGTGTGACTGAACAGTGCTAAAGCCTGACAGCAGCAGCTGGATCCAGTTTTCTGTGCACAACTGCTCCGTGGGTGGCTTTTAGTGGATGGTAGATGCTACCAGGACAAGGTATCTCTTCTAAACCCTGCTGGAGATACTCCATCTCAATTTTATGTGCTTTCCAATTGAAAAGTGCCTTGAATAACTGAGGACAATCAACTCACACTTAGAAGTTTTTCTTAGCCTGAGAAGATTCCCAAAGATGTGGTTGCAGCAGATGAGTAAGGGGGAAAATCTGTGTCTTGGGAGCACAAGTGACATCTTGCTGCAGCTTGTGGGAGAAATGATAAATGCCTGTCTCTGTTTATTGCCTAGCTTTGTGGCTAAATCTCCTAAACCAAAATCAAATTTTACCCTTAGATCTCCCAGTTAATTTATTTATATTCATCTGGCATTGCCTTGATCTTCAAAGCAGGAAGGTATATCAAAGGAAGCAGAAGGTTTGACACCAATTACTGCTGCTGGATGCCATTCACTGCATAAAGATGGAGTGTTAATATTTACACTGAAAGTGAAGGAGATAAAACCCAACAGGTACACACATCTAAGCCTACAAATAAGCCCTTCTGTGTATAGTGGGCAGAGATAAAGCCAAGCAAAACTAATTGAAATTACCATTGCAAATATCCCAAACACCTTCAGAAATGGTGGGTTGTAAACAGAGAAGTGACAGCAAAACCACCAAAAGAGCCTTCTAGGAAAGCAAATCAGGCTCTCTGCTTCTCAGGGGCAGTGCCTGGTCTCCAGGAGATGGTTTTTGAAACAAGCCACCATGAAGAAGTAATTAACATCTAAATATCACCACACTCCACCATGAGACACTTAATTTGCATTTTACTCTCTTGAGTTTGAGATGTGTGAGGCCCCAGTGACTGGACCTGCCCTGCCTTGGCTGTCTCAGTGTTGTCCAATTTGGTTTGCTCAGATGCTTGCTCTCTCCTCCAGAAAACTCAAAATGGCTTAGAAAGCTTGGTGAAGTCTTCATGTTTTTCACAACCATCAAGAACTGAATTAGAGATGAGTCATTAAACAAGAGTGTATTATTTGTATGCTTATGTAGTAGACTTGCACACACATCTCTATAATTAGCCATCAGCACCCCAAATTACAGCAGTAACTGTTCATTAAATGGAGGACATCACTCTGATCAAATCATGTATTCACAATTGCATTCCTTCTTGCTTAAATTTCAGAGCTTGTTGTCCAGATGGGCCTTGTTGGGCACCTAATTAGTAGTTAATCAAAAGCTCCTGCTGCTTCACAGCCCTCCTGGCATCCTAGCTGTGCCTTACGAGTTCCTTGACTGCACGGAGATGAAAGCACAGGAGTCGGAGTAGAGGCTTTATCTCCTTTATGCAACTGCCATAACTAAACAGCTTCCAAAATAAACTCAGCTCAGGATGCATTGGTTATCTGACTTGTGTGTGCTGAGCAAAATGGGTCTTGCAACGTGTGAGTGAAAATGCAGCCATGTGTTAACGGCAGCAAGAGACAGCCTCGTGTGTTCTGAGATTAACTCACTGTTTTCTCTTTCCTTTCCAGATTTTGGCAATCATTTCCATCATGTTTATTGTACTATCTACAATTGCCTTGTCCCTTAACACACTTCCTGAGCTACAAGGCGTGGATGAATTTGGGCAGACCACAGATAACCCGCAGCTGGCCCACGTGGAAGCGGTGTGCATTGCCTGGTTTACCATGGAATACCTCCTGCGCTTCCTCTCCTCCCCGAAGAAATGGAAGTTTTTCAAAGGCCCGCTGAACGCTATAGATTTGCTGGCTATCTTACCCTACTATGTTACTATCTTCCTCACAGAATCCAATAAAAGTGTACTTCAGTTCCAAAATGTACGAAGAGTGGTCCAAATATTTCGGATCATGAGGATACTCCGGATTCTAAAACTGGCCCGGCACTCCACGGGTTTGCAGTCCTTGGGGTTTACACTGAGGAGGAGTTACAATGAACTTGGATTACTCATCTTGTTTCTGGCTATGGGCATTATGATCTTCTCCAGTTTAGTGTTTTTTGCAGAAAAGGATGAGGATGATACAAAATTCAAGAGCATCCCAGCTTCTTTCTGGTGGGCAACAATCACCATGACAACAGTAGGCTATGGAGACATTTACCCCAAAACTCTTTTGGGTAAAATAGTGGGAGGACTGTGCTGCATTGCTGGTGTGCTGGTGATAGCTCTTCCCATCCCAATTATTGTCAATAACTTCTCAGAGTTTTACAAAGAGCAGAAGAGGCAGGAGAAAGCCATTAAGCGCAGGGAAGCTCTTGAAAGAGCAAAAAGAAATGGCAGTATTGTTTCCATGAACATGAAGGATGCGTTTGCTCGTAGCATAGAACTCATGGACATTGTGGTTGAAAAGAATGGAGAAAGCATAGCCAAAAAGGATAAAGTTCAGGACAATCATTTATCTCCAAGCAAATGGAAATGGACCAAGAGAACACTCTCTGAAACTAGTTCTAGTAAATCTTTTGAAACTAAGGAACAAGGATCCCCAGAAAAAGCCAGGTCATCTTCAAGTCCCCAACACCTGAACGTCCAACAGCTCGAGGACATGTACAACAAAATGGCAAAGACTCAGTCCCAGCCAAACCTTATCACTAAAGAGCCGAGTCAAGCTGGAAAGCAAAAGGAAGAGCTGGAAATGGAAACCCTTCCAGGCCCGATGGTGCCGCTGCTGGCGACGCGCACGGACGGCATCGTGGACATGAGGAGCATGTCCAGCATCGACAGCTTCATCAGCTGCGCCGCCGAGTTCCCCGACCCCGCGCGCTTCCCGCACAGCCCGCTCACCGCCCTGCCCTGCAAGGGCGCCCCCCAGGAGCAGGGCAGGCCCGAGGGCAGCGCCAGCAGGTACATGGACGTGAACCCCGGCTCCGAAAGCAGCCACCGCTCTGCTTTCTTCATCGACAGTCCCAGGAGCTCCATCAAGGCCAGTAACCCGTTAAAACTAAGATCTCTCAAAGTCAACTTCATGGAAGAGGACACCAGCACATTCGTACCAGCATCAAATGTACTGAGAACGTACCCAGACCCTCTCAAGAGCCGGGGAGCCGCTGCTGCTGCCGCAGACACTTCCTTACTCTCTGACAGGTCTCTCATGAGCCCAGAAACCTCGATCTACACAACTGCGAGCGCGAGAACCCCCCCAAAGTCACCAGAGTCCCAGGCAGCCATAGCTTTCAACTTCCACGATGCTGGTATACACAAATACATCGATGCTGACACCGATGATGAGGGTCAGCTGATGTATGACTCGAGTCCGCCTGGAAATGTGAGTCCCAAGTACAGTGTTGCAAGCAGTGGCTATCTAAAGCAAAAGGACCATGTTTATAGAACAGAGAAGAACCATCTAGAAGCTGCTGCTTTACCCACCTCCCCTAAGCAGATAGGGCAGAACTGCATTTACTCTATGGAAGGTATCACTGGAAGAACCCAGGGCAATCAGGAGACTGTCAGACTAGAAAATCACATTTCCCCAGAAGTCCATGTATTACCAGGCAGCGGAGGACATGCTAACACACATGATCAAAGCATCTGAGTTGGGGTCTGAAAGAACTTACTGAGAATTTAGAGGAATATCTTCACAGTCAACACAAACAAAAGAGCTTCTGCATGGCATGAACTTGGCTGAAACAAGCCACCTGTTTCTAAAAGTCTGGGGGAGGTCCAGTGTGGGTTTGTGAAAATGTCCTTCTCTGAAACAACTTTAAAGACATTGCCCACATCAGTCAAAAAATGATTGCAAATCATGATCACACATTGATCTCCTTTCATGTTGTCCAGTGAAGCCAATGTGACCAAATATCCATCCATTCCCCTTGAACGCTAGAGCTCCTTTTGGAAATATTAACATCTGAGTTGCATTAGTTCCATAAAGGATGCCAAGGCAGCCAGATTTGAACTCTGGAATAAATTGCTGGGGTTGGTATAAAGCTTTCAAAAACACAGTGTTCACTGCTTCAGGGCAGCGGTTCCCCATCTACAGCTTTCTCTGATGGATATTATGTTTAAAGGTAACAGGGAACACTTGCATTATTGGAAAATCCAAGCGAAAAGCATTTGAAACAATTAACGGTCTAGAGAAACCAATTCTTAAAATGCTCTTTGTGTGTTTAACAATCTGATATCCTGTAGGACCCGATGTTTTCTTTTGAAATATTAGCAGGGTGAGTTGCACCACTTGTACCNGGCCCTGCCAGGCTGTGTGTGCCTGGTCCCAAGGAGCCAGCCAGCCTTTGCCCAGCTATTCCACTGCTGGTGTCAGCGTGAATAAACCATGTTCTTTTTAAGCCACCACAACTCCTGACAGCTACAGTGCTGTAAATAAAGCAGCTAACGCAGATGCTAATATTAATTCTCATGACCCAGTTGTGCTGCACTAATAGTATCTGGGTTACCAGCCAGCCAAGACAAAAGCACAAATATTTAGCCTGTCTCAGTCTGTTACACCAAAAAAGCAAGCATTTGAAGATATTAATTTCTAGAGCTACACGTCAGAAGCGCCCTCCATTAGGAAAAGGCAAAAGGAAGCTCTGAAAAAGTTGCAGAAATCCATGTTTAGTGGTGGTTAGCAGTTAAGCCATGCTGGTGATGCCAGCACCTCGTGCTGTGCTGCAAATGTGCTGTGACATCCTCGGGTCAGGGCTGGTCCTGTCCAGGCCTCGGCGTGCATCACACAGAGTGCCACTGCAGGGAGACGTGCTGTGTGCAGGGCTGAGAGCTGTGCTGGGGTTTTTAAAGCAATGGTTAAGACTAGTTAGCAATGTTAGGATTTCAGGATAATCATCCATTTAGCCCTCTCCAGCTGCAGCTGCTCTGTCCTTGGTCATCCCTTTGGTTTCTGCCCAGGAAAGCTCCATGATATTTTCCTGGAGGCATCCAAAGACTGTCAGGTGCGAAAAGCTTTTGGGAGAACCGTGGCAGTTGTCACCCAGCCTCATGCAGCTGGAATGAAGCAGCTGGGCCATTCCAGGCTGTGCTGGCACCGTGGCACAGCCCGGGGCAGCTGCTCAGGCTCCAGGGCTGCTGCACCCCAGCTGTCTGGCACTGGCCGTAGGTGTAAAGCTGCTGCTTTGCACAGCCTCTCCAGAAGGGCCAGGCTCACAGCCCCGCTGATCAGCACCAGGTTTCTTTATCCTCACATGCCGGAGTGTGAGAGCAGCCTTCAGCCTGGGCACCGCCGACTGCAGGGCAGAGTTAGTGCCACAGGTGTGTGGGCACGGGCTGGGGCTCTGTCGTAAACAATCACTGACACAGCTCTTCCTGCAAAGACCTCGGTGCATTTACTCGAGCCAGCTGACTGAAGCCAGGGGACAGCCAGGGCTGTGTGGGACAGGTGTTTGTGTTTTCTATCATAACTGACCCTGCGGCTGCACAGAGGCACAACTGAGCTGCTCACAGCGGGCCTGGAGGCTTAATTAGGCTCCTAGTGTTCTGTAAAGTTCACTCCACTGCTCGGTGGAGGACAGTTTAGGATAAGCATAATAGGATTACTGCTGCTATATGCAGCTGCCTAAGCCAGGAAGTCCTGGTAATGGGCCTTTACCCAGCAGGAAAATCGTTTCAGAGGATGCTTTTTATAACCCGCAGTTACGCAGGCTGTGAGTGCTGGCAAGGGTGTCCTGAGCCCCAGCCAGCCCAGGTGAGCCCTGGGGGACAGCACATGTTCTGTCACACCGGGTTTGCCACTGACAGCCACAGCCAGCACCTGCAGCACCGAGTCCTGAGCCCTGCTCAGCCTGTCCCAGGCTCCATAGGGAATTTCTGCCTCGAAGGCCACACTGGGATCCCCTCCTGCTCTGAGCTGCCCCAGCCACTGCAGCATTTGGATGCTGGATTTATCAATGCTGTACTTTTAACACGTTAGTGGTCAGTGATTTTTGGAGGCAGCTGTTCCAGATGTCGAGAGCACCTTGGTTAGCAGGGACAGTAGTGGCTGGGCAGGGAGCCGGGCTCGGGCAGCCCAGCCCTGCACACGGGCTCCTCTGGGGCTCCTGGCGCTGCTCAGGGGTTGTTCCATGTCAGCCCAGAGGCAGAGCTCAGCTCTGAGAGAGCATTCCCCCCCATGCTGCTCCCCACGAGCCTGCTGTCCTCATCCCTTCCTTTTCTGCAGCAGCAGGTGATTCACAGATAAAACAATCGGTGCTTATACACACACAGACGGCTAGGAGCTAGTCTTAATCTTTCCAAATCCCTTAATATACCTTATGTATACAGTTTGGAACTTGCAGATTTAGCATGATAGATCGATATCATGCACTATCTCAATGGAAAATGACATTAGTAACTGCGTTCTTTTTTTATATTATTTTTTCCCCTGTCTGAGCTGCTGCAGAGCACTGAGCTGGGGCCTGTCTGCCCGGGGCGCTGCAGCCCTGAGGGCAGACCAGGTCCCCTGATTGTGTCTGGTGCTCTTGTCTGGATTATATAAAGCCTAAGATGTGGTACAGCCTTAGGAGAATTTGGCCAAATCACTGCATATGCACTTGAGCATATGTTATAACCAATCACTTGGAATGGTTGTAGTTATTTTTCACAACTCCCCCAAAATGGAGAAAATGGATGAGAATTGAGTGGGTCATGTGGATTGACAGGGGAAGCTGCTATGACAGTTTGAGACAGATGACTCAGGGTTTTTACTTTATGGTTTTCTGCATTTCACCACCAGGAATTTCCAAGGGGTTCTCCAGTAAAAGCAGGCAGGCAAAAATACAGACTCGCCTCATCAGCCATCCCATAGCGAGCCGTGCTNTTGTATTATATTATATTATATTATATTATATTATATTATATTATATTATATTATATTATATTATATTATATTATATTATATTATATTATATTATATTTTGATTTATAATTATATATACAGTGCATTCCTTTCCTGGGCTCCAGGCATCCTTGCCAAAATTAAAAAGTACAGTTAGCAAAACTAAAGCCAGCAGAAGCTCAGAGCTCTCTGTGAGAAATAACCAGTCAAAGCAACTCTTTTTTTTTTCCTACCAATTCTTCATATATTGTCTGTTCTCCTTGCATTTCCTTCCCATGAACCTGTGCATGAGGAGAGCAGCCCCTGCACCAAGCTCTTGGCCCCACAACAGCAATGCAGGGAGCAACAAAACAGCTCCAACTCATTCTTCAGATCCACGGGCAGCATTTGTTTGTATTTTCAAGTATTCCAAATACTTCTGCATGGTACTCCTGGAGCTCATACTGCTGGGAGGGATTGTGTGTGATCCTTAGGTGGGATTTGCAAGTGCTGGTGAGAAGAGGTGCAGTGAAGCATCGCGCTGTTCTCTAAAACCCTTCTTGCTCAAGGAAATTCAGTTTGCTCTGAGCAGGATTTGGGGGGCCAGGGCGGGGTTTCTGGAGAGTTGAGGGGGCAGTAATGTATTCTCAAGGTTAATCACACTTGATTGTATGCAAATAGCTATTGCCCACTACCACACGTGATCAGAACCTCCAGGGACAAATCCCTGCCGCTGGATGTGCACAATGGGATCTTTAGGATCGAGGGGTTTTATGTTTGCAGAATGAGCAGGGATGAGGTGGTGAACAGGCAGGGCATGGCTGGCACTGGGTGTTTGCCAAGCCAGGTGCAGACCCTGCTGTGCTGCCCCTGTGGTGCTCCTGAGGACAAAGTCACCTGCTGGGCAATTTCCCATTGCTCCCACCTCTCTCTGCTCATCCCCAGCCTAAGCAGGCCAGGTGACTTCCAAGGACTGGCATTACCTTGCCATGGAAGTCCCTGGGTTTTGCTGGATTTTGCAGTCTGGCAATGTTTGTGCTCAGGCTGGAGGTGGGTCTGTGCCACGGACAGCAGCTGGCAAAGCTGGGGGCAGAGGGCTGGTCCCTCTCACCCTGAATGTGATGCTTCAGGCCCAGCTTCTCTTCTCACCAGTTACTGCTGCTTACAGGAGGTCACTCTTGCCATGGCTTCATGTGCTAGGGAGAGTTTTGCTTTCTCTGGGACAGATTTAGACTCTCATTTAATAAGCACAATTATAGCTGCTGTTTTGGTGTGTTGATGAAGCTTCCAGATGGCTAATTGTGTGTCTTGAAGGAAAAAAGAAACTCAGCATCTGATGGATCCAAATCCAACAGAGAACAATACCTCTGGCTCTGGGACTGCCAGATTCCTCATTTTAAAAAATAGATGTTGCTTTGATGTGGTATAATGGCTTAAGAATTTATCCATGCAGCAACTGAGACAGGAGTATAAAAGGCTTGTGAGGATTTCACACGTGGGAGGATGCTTTGGTTAGTGCAGGGACCCCTGGACTGTCCAGCACGCAGGCAGCTGCATTCCTGCTGCCCACGGCCCTGCCAGGCAGTGTGAGTGTGCCCAGGGCCCTGCCAGGCAGTGTGTGTGTGCCCAGGGCCCTGCCAGGCTGTGTGTGTGTGTGCCCAGGGCCCTGCCAGGCTGTGTGTGTGTGCCCAGGGCCCTGCCAGGCTGTGTGTGTGTGCCCAGGGCCATGCCAGGCTGTGTGTGTGCCCATGGCCCTGCCAGGCAGTGTGAGTGTGCCCATGGCCCTGCCAGGCTGTGTGTGTGTGTGCCCAGGGCCCTGCCAGGCAGTGTGAGTGTGCCCAGGGCCCTGCCAGGCTGTGTGTGTGTGCCCAGGGCCATGCCAGGCTGTGTGTGTGCCCATGGCCCTGCCAGGCTGTGTGTGTGTGTGCCCAGGGCCATGCCAGGCAGTGTGAGTGTGCCCAGGGCCCTGCCAGGCTGTGTGTGAGTGTGCCCAGGGCC